TGTTTCTAACGGCCGTGGGCTCCCGGTGGCAGCTTTTTACAAGATCCACCTATCTTACATTTTGGTGCCGGTTTCGAGTCACTATGAGGTGTACCGATCTTCATTGACACTCTTAAATCCTCTTCTAGACAATTCAAGCACGAACACAGAAACTTAGCATAGATATGTAAAATTGGTAGCTGTATATATTATCCAACTTCTTATTGTATAAATCAGTAATTTTGTAGAGTATCAGTCAAAACTATTTATGGACATGTGTCCATTAATGATTTGAAAAAGGAAAAATAAAACTACTCACTGAGTTTTCGAAATTTGTATGGTTGAGCTGAAATCGCCTTCGATGAAATCAACAAAGAGAGAATCATTAGCGAACATATCAACCACAACTTTCCTTTCATCATTTTTTCTAATTTTGTGTTGAATGTTTCTTAATGGTACGGTATAAAGCTTTAAACAATATGTGTATCTATATCAAATCAAACATACGACTATGGATGATTATATATTCTAATGGAGCTTTCGAATTATGTATACATACTCTCTTACTTCTTAGACATTTTTCTTATCATTTATTCATTTTTAAAGAGTTTGAAGATTTCCAAATTACCGCGTGAAGAGCTTTGAAACAATCATAATAGAGATATGTAACTATAATATACATGTAAGACAAGATCAAGTCTTCTGCTTAAAAAAATCAACAGTAGATTAGACTAAATGCATAAGTCAACTGTTTCCTAATTATCTTTCTAATGCTGATTATTATAGTTCTTTAACCGAGTAATCGGATCAAAATGTTGAAGCAACCAGAACGAAAATGTATAAGTCAAACAAAAAAAAAGAACAGTTTTGAGTTTCGACCAAATCTGAGAAACTATGTGCAGCCAAATGAACATCAAACACTAATAAACTATTCTCAAACGGTTAACATTGAATACTCCTCTGTTCAGCGAGATCTGCCTCAGATTGTGAGCCTTAATAAGCTGATGAATTGATCGAACTCGAGTCTACTGATGATCCATTGTTCTCCATAGAAGCATTACTGATATCGTCATTGCTATCATCGTTTCGCAAAGTCTCTGTATCGGTCTTTGGC